GTGTGTGTGTGTGTGTGTGTGTGTGTGTGTGTGTGTGTGTGCATGCTAAGAATTTCTGTATTGTTGGTCTGCCTGTGTGGGAGAAAAAGCCGAAGAAGTTTCTGCTATGTTTACATCTGCATCTTTATCAACTTGCTCTCATGCCCAATGGTTTCACTGCATAATCCAAGACTGAATATCGTTACGACTCACGAGCATGAGCTATTCTTCCTCTCAACTGCTCTAAGTCAACCAAGAAAATCGGAAAACCTGCCTCATGGTCAGCTTGCTCACGAGTTTTTTCTTTGTTTTTCCCGTGTGTTACTCTGCAGTACCAGATGGATCACAAGTGATAATGGTGTTTGGAGAAATCGATTGCAGAGAGGGCCTTCTAATATCAGTCGACAAGGGCCGCTATAAGGTAATAAATAAAAAAAATAAAAATATGAATCAAGTACCAAAAAGTCTAAAAGACTATAGACTCTATACTACTCTATAGCTAATTTATTTAAGCTATTACTACTATTTACTAGCCTATCAGCTTATATATAATTTTGTCAATCTAAACAGTGAGTTCCAAAAATTACACGATACATCATGTTGCTACAGGACATTTTCAGTTACTCTGCTGTTCAGCATCTGCAGATTGACGCACAGGATTCGCCGAAATAGCTGTATCTGGAGCATTTTCAGTCTAGATACAGCAATAATGACCGTGCATTCTACTCGGTTTAAGGTTTACGTTGGTAGTGTCATTGCGGCTTCAAATCCGTGCATCTCCCTTCTCTGACCTTGCGAACTTTCTCAGCTCAGCTCTGAAGCTCAGCTCATGGGGTCCGCTTGTGCGTATGATGTCTGGCATTGTCTGTGCTAACAGGATGTGGCAGAAGGAGCGGCTGTTAGCGTGGGCATATATATCAAGGTCCTTCTGAAGCTCATAAATGAAAGGAAGTTTGAAGTCTTTGTGCATCCAGTCCCGCCAGTTCTGAACGAAACGAGGTACAGAACACTACCTGTGCCTGCAGTAAGAGGAGAGTTTGCTTTCATGAATTCGGATTTCTTTTCCGATATAAACTTATAAAGTTATCGACCAACCGTGGTACATTAAGAGTGAGGGGGGGTGGAGATTGGGAGTTGGGGGCTGGGAATTGGGGTTTGGGGTTTGGGTTTGGGGGTTGGGGTTGGGGTTGGGGGGTTGGGGGTTGGGGGTTAGAAGGGGGAGAGAGAAGGAAAGAGAAGAAGAGGTGATGCTCTGCTTTAGACTTGTTGAGAGGGGATCGCTGACGTGGGGGGAGGGAGTGTGGTTGGTGTCTTCACTGTTGCAGTTTTACTTTTTTTTTCTTTTTTTCTTTTTTTTTCTTTTTTTTTTTCTGATCAGAACAGATACTACACTTGATCTTAGCCAAAAGGCCGAGAAGGGGGAAGGAGCAGAGAAGAAGGCTTATTAGACCTTGTAAGGGGACTGCCTGCCCCCGGGCCGGGGGGTTGCATGGTTGGTTTCTGCACTGTGCACTGGGTGTTCTCGTGTAGACACAAACATGTATGCGCTGGAGCTAGTCGTTCTTTGCTTTGTGAAAATGATAGAGAAGGAAGAAGAAAATAGGAAAGCTTGAGAAACGACGGAAACGAGAAACGTGTCTGTGTCCACCCTCAGGGACTGATGGCTGCTATCCCATAATCGCTGAACAACCGTCGTCCCTGACCGACATCTGATTGCGACGAACCTGGGATAATGGATGAAAGGAATTGTTTAGGGAGAATGTATGGTTGCATATCCTACTGAGGAGCCTGCAGTGACAACGCGGAACATGTTGAGAGGGTCAGAAGTTCTCACAGCTGCTACGATGCTTTGTGCAGCACACGTCGAGGGGGCCGCAACCTGCGGAGGGATGATGTGTTTGCTTACTTGACTTGCCATTTGCTCATGGAGTGGGAAAAAACACAAAAACAGGAAACTTCAGACAAGATGGGAAAAGGTTAAAAAAAGAAACGACCGTGGCGGTCGGGGGGTGGGAGGCGGAGAGGGGATGGAGGGAGGCGGGGGACGGAAGAGAAGTTTTGGGTTTGTGGCATCTTACAGCCTGAGGTTCTGAGAATGATGGAAAGCCTTGAGCAAAAGTATGGGGGGGGGTATGTGGGACAGCGAGGGGGGTGCAGGGAGTTGGTGGTGAAAGTTGTGTGGGTGTTTGGAGGGGGAAGGGTGTGGGGTTTGATACTCAGCCCCAACGTCCGTCTGTTCATGTGCCCATTTGATGCCTTCGTCTCGTCGTCAAATTCATTTATTTGTTCTTGTTCATTTCATTCGTTCAGTTTGTCTTTTTTAATAATTTGTTTGCTTGTTCTCAAGTTCATCCATTGTTGATTTCTTCATCTGTTCCCATTCATTTGTTTCATTTAGTATGATTTGACTCCTTGCGTTTGATTGATTTCTTTTCAGCCCTTCCCTTACTCTATTTAAGTGAGTAGCGGGTCTCGTGTGATGCTGTCCCATGAGGCACTTTCGCAGCTGGGCCCAGCGTCACGTGTTTTTTTCTTTTTCCCTTTCTGTAGGGGCGCGGCCTGCCTGAACACGGTAGTTTGAAGTGCACAGCCAGGCCTGTCGGATCGTGTAAGTTTGAATACAAGTACGCAGTACTACACACAGGTGGGCTCGGTAGCAGATACATCCAGAACAGTGCCAGCGTGTGTGGGCACTTTTTTTTTTTTTTTTTGGGTCGTTTTGTGGCCCGCTCAGTTCGTCCATTTTGTCTTTTCATTTTCTTGAAATTACTTCTTTTGTGTGTGGCCACGAGTTGGTGCCACGAGGCCCATTTTCCATGTTCTAGCAGACGATTCTTTCTCATTTTGCACATTTGGTGACTACTGGATAGAGGCCCTTATTCATGTATTTCTTTTGGGGCATCCGGCCGTAAATGCGGTGAGATACATTCAGTTCAGGGGTGTGCGGACTGAGCTAGGCCAGTTTGTTTTTTTTTACTTTTTTTTTTACTTTTTTTTTGTGGGGCATGGGGGCTGGCAGCAGTGTCTTTGCTGTTTTTTTTGCCCCCCCTTTTTCACGGTGGGAGTGTGCCTGTTAGTTTTTTTTTTTTTTCTCAGCTTGAGGTCCGCGGCAGGTCTCGCAGGGTGTGATACGAGCAGCGCCCTGTGGTACCACCCCGGATGGCTCCTGTCTATGGGTGGGGAGCGTGCCTGTTAGTAGCATCTGACCTACGAAGTATGGTCCGCCCCACATGCTGCCACCTGAATACAAGGACACAGCAGGACATGCAGAAGGAGCGCACAGCAGAGGAGGGGAGATGGCCGAAGAGGAGGCAGATGCAGGAGCGGGACAAAGAGGAGGTGACAGACAGCAATAAGGAGCAAGGGGGAGGAGGAGGAGGAGCAGGTCTCCGCCGCGCTCGGAGCCGCAGCGGGCTTCGCTTGTAATCTCTTAATCATTATTGCATCTTAATTAGAAGTGTCTCTGTACATGGACACATGATTTGCACATCTTTGCAAGCAAAGTCTTGTCCGACCAGGCACAAGTAACGGCACCGCCCCTCCTTTTGTGCCCAGACGTCTGGCCTGTCAAGACTCAAAAGGGAACTGGGGCAGTTTAGGACATCAACTAATGTTTGGCCACGTCCTCCGCATATTGAATAGATTCATATTTGTATCTGGCCAGACACCTGTCCAAATGCGGAGGTACCTGCCCAGGTATCTGGTTGTTTGCGTATCGGGTTACGAAGGGTAAAAGCCAAGAAGTCACCGCGTCCTGTCATCATGAAGACAGCTTTCACATGGAGGATGGAACTCACAATCCATGTGTCACACTCACAAACGCAGTCATGTATGGCTTGTGCTTGCAGACCGGTGGTGCACATATTCACAAAGACCTTGCAGATGGAGGTTTTGGCAGCTGGCAGAACGGAGGCAGCATCTGGTAGACTCCACTGGCTGGACTTCTTCGACGACTTCTTGGACTCTGAAGGTACACATCATGTAGAAAACCAGATGAGGGGGCTGCCGTCTGAACTGAAGAGACAAGTGCAAAACATAAGTAAACTTTCCAAAGACGAGCAAAATAAGGCAAAGAATAGCCTTTCTCCTTCTCTCCATGGAGAGAGAGAGAGAGAGAGAGAGAGAGAGAGAGAGAGAGAGAGAGAGAGAGAGAGAGAGAGAGAGAGAGAGAGAGAGAGAGAGAGAGAGNAGAGAGAGAGAGAGAGAGAGAGAGAGAGAGAGAGAGAGAGAGAGAGAGAGTGCAAAATGTAAATAAACTTTCCAAAGACAAGCAAAATAAGGCAAAGAATTGCCTTTCTCCCTCTCTCCATGTGGAGAGAGAGAGAGAGAGAGAGAGAGAGAGAGAGAGAGAGAGAGAGAGAGAGAGAGAGAGAGAGAGAGAGAGGGAGAGAGAGACCACCCACAGATGAGGGGGCTGCCGTCTGAACTGAAAAGACAAATGCAAAACATAAATAAACTTTCAAAAAGACAAGCAAAATAAGGCAAAGAATAGCAACAAAACAAACTACCATGGAGAGAGAGAGAGAGAGAGAGAGAGAGAGAGAGAGAGAGAGAGAGAGAGAGAGAGAGAGAGAGCACCTACCTTGTATACCAGTGCTTCCTCACCTCTCAGCATTAAACCACCCTTGACACGATGTCCTCCTCCACGCTGGCCCCTTGCTGGGCATTGCGACCCCCTTGGCAATGTGCACCCCACGTCGACACTGCCTCCCCCTTTTTTTTTAACTATTTTATTGCCTCCCCATTTGTTACTATGGTTCCCCTTGACATTCTCTCCCCTTAATGTCACTCCGCGCCTGGCATTGCTGTCTTCTTGATTCCATGCTCCCTCCCTCCACCTCCTGTAAATTACATCCCCTATGGTCTTCTCCTAAACACAACACACCCTGATCATCAATGCATGCAAGCTATTTTGCTGGTCTTATGCAATCATGATGAGGGTGTGTTGTGTTTGGGGGAAGGCGGTAGACATCGGGCCCGTTTGGATCTCACAACCTCCCCCCTAATATCACACCCCACTGAACATGGCCTGTTGTTCTCTGTCGGCGTCACTTGTCGGTTGAAATTACATCCCCTGAGTGCTCCCTTTGACATTATATCCCTGTCCCTCCCTCTCCCCCCCAACCCCATCCCTCAAACACCACCCCTCGGCATCACACCTCCCTCCACATTGGCACTTTGCTCGACATGATCATCCCATCAGCATCTTGTACCCCTCAACATTATACTTCTTCCTCAATGTGTCTCATCCCCATCCTCCCTTTTTGTATTTGAAAGTTCAAGCACCTTTGCCATATCACAAACCCATCTGAGTCCTTGTTTCCTGAAACATTAACACCCTCCCCCTCCCCCCCCCCCCCCCCCCCCCCTTCCCCCTCTCTTACATCCAAGGCCCCTTCGAGTAAGATCCCTGAATCGTGTTCTAGCATTGGCCCAGATATAATGACATGGAAATCTCTTTTTTTTCCCTTTTTTTTCTTTTTTTTTCTTTTTTCCTAACACGACAGGGAAGTCTCTGTTGTGTCTGGAATGGATCTTGGATATATTGACAGCGTACCGTCTTCCTCCGAATAGATCATATGATCATTATCCCTTTATGTAGACCGATGCAAGAAAATGAGCAAATAGCGAAATGAGCCAAATGACAGAATTCCAGATTGCAAAATCACAACGAAAGCCAGAAAATCGTAAGCTGTCCAGGAAGCAGAAATGCGCTGATATCAAACCAAAGGAGAACCAAAGCAGCCCAGACTACAAGCGCACAGCTGCTCTCCTAGCCTACGAAATGATGAAGCAACCAGTTGACGTCAGCAGCCGCGACCAAAGTACATGCAGATGTCGACCATGCAGTTTCGCCAGGACCAGGTACGTGCATCTCACATCACTCCCCACGCGCCCTCTCTGCTCACCCTCGTTTTCACCACCCACGTGCTACCACCTCCGTAGGACCCCCACCGTAGGCCGCCGACCTCCCTTCGCCCGAGCCCGGCTATGGAGGCGGGGCTATGGCGCTGCTTCCATGCAGTGCCCACCTTCCCTCTAGCGCCCACGAACGGTCAGGTATCTAGCGCTAGCAGCCAGCGATGCCACATTGAATCCCTTCCCCGTAGCCCGGCTCTTTCCTACATGGAAAGTAGCCGGGCTCGCTGGCTGCCCGCTGGGATGCGCGTGTGCCCAGTAGCTTCACTTTGGGCCGAACTGTCTGCGCCCAGGCCCATTCACACATGGGCCTGCGACCGATTTGGTTAGGCATGCCCAACCACCCATGCACAAACGTGAGGTGTTCCTTGATTCCCCTACGTAGCTAGAAGAGCCTAGAAGGCTCACGAATGTTTCTGATTCTTACGAGCAGGGCGGATGTAACCAACTGGCGCGTGGCAACTGTCTGGCGCCCACCAAGGGCTTTGCAAAATTGAAGAATTCAGGCCTTGCTGAGATTCGGGGGGGCGCCTTCACTTAGGGCAGACACGTGCTTGCTGTAGGGGCCACATACAGGTATGAAGAGGGCTCAAATCCTCACACTGACAGTTGGCCAAAAAATAGAGCTATAATTATGTAGTGTACGGTCTATTCGGGGGAAGACAGTAGTCTCTGCTGTGGCGGCTGAAGTGACCGGATGCTATCTTGACCGTGACTGGATCCAGGTGCTTGAGTCCTATGGAGTTTCGAACCTGTGCAGTCTGGTAGGGTAATAATGGTACCAGTGCCAGGTACGATTTGACGGCACTGAGGTTTTTTGGGGTTTCCCCGGAGTTTCGGAACCAGGGCAGATTGTTGAAATCCAAATGTAGTTGATGTGTCTGTTTTTTTTTTTTTCTCTTTTCTTTTAAGCGACAGGCACTCACCTGCAACAAATGGGGATAAAAGCCGTCAGCTGTTGCAGGAGGCTGGTGTCACTAGCTCCGATCTTATTTGTGGGGAGCACCACATGCTGGGAACCGGGCCCAGCGTCCCATTTGTACATCATAAAGCAGATTATAATGCACTGGCCTTTGCACCCGCAGAAGCTCTACAACCAGTTTCTGTCTCTATAATGACCTTGTTTTTTTAGCACTGCCACCCCCTCAGGTCCTTGCACCCCTAGTAGACCGGGTGCTTTGTGAGGCAGATTAATATACACCGGTCTCTGCCGCCTGAGAGGCTTGTCCTTCGTTCCCAGCGCTGCGGAGACATTGTCTTTATAGCAGTCCCTGTGGGCCCTGATCTGTCTAAACTAGCGTTGACCCCTGGATTGCGGTCGTAGAATTTGCCCAAATCTGGCCCAGAGACTTGCCCAATAACCCTATTTTGGCTTGTTTCTTACCCAATAACCATATTTTGGCTTGCTTGACGTAGGCATAGTAATTCATTTGTAGAAATTTTGTACCACAAATGGACTTCCAATGATCGCTCTCATATTTGGTCCTATGTTGTCTGCTCTCTAGCATTTCCGCATATGCATGAGAAGTTGAGAACCGACGACGTACGATGGTTAATTTGGCAAGGGTGGTGGTTTTGATTTCGGGACAGGCAGTGTTGATAACTCCCCCCCTCTTCCCCCTCCCCTGATGAGGACTGCCTTGGCAGCAGTCAAAATGCGTCGGGGTAGCTGCGCGACCACCAGACTTGAGTGCGTGAAGTTCATTCGTTCGCAGTTCATTTCATTTGGCGTACATATCTCCGGTGTGTATGCATGAGTATGGTGTGCATCGTTGATGTACTTCTTCGAGTCCTTGTGTGATTCATTATCTTGGACACTCGAAGCACTCTAACTTGTAGAGCCCCTGCATTTTATTCTCGCAATGTCTCAGGAAACCTTCGCGACAGCTTCAAGCTTGATGGCACCCATTTAAGTCCCCGATACGCTGAGTTGCTGAGAAGAGAATTGTTGCGATTCTAATACTCAAGAGTACTGCTTCAACGGTGGCATCCGCCATTAATCATGTAAGTGATGATAGCAAGCTGGTTCTTTTTTTGTTATTATTATTTGAAGGGGAGAAGTCCTAGGACATTTTTGTATCCACTTTACACTTGTGCAACAGAAAAGCCATGCTGCTGGTGGTCGTAGGTGGATTGAATAGTTTTCACCTATCTGATTTGTGATGGGGAGGCTTTTTGACACACATATTCTATTGACTTGGTAGAGTCTGAAAAAAAAAAAGTCGGTTGTTCTTATGAATGTCTTAGGACTTTAGGGTTTCTTAGCAATCCATCTTAGGCGGTTTCGATGCTGTTATACTCAGTGATCTGTGGCCGTTCGATACCAGAACGACGCTGGCCGGTGCTGGGGTATTGCCCTGTAACCTGCTGATGCAGGAGCGTGCGAGGCTATGCCCGCTTAGCCCTACGGGCCTTATTTGCAACAAGGTCGGCCGCCCTAAGTGAAGGCAGGCACGACAGGCCCTCAGGGCCTCGTTTTCAGGGTACCCCCGCAAAWKGGGAAATTCAGGCAGTTGCACAGCATCAGTTGGTTGAATGAACTCAGGCCCTGGGCCGCCCGTGTGAATGAATGTAAAGCAGGCCCTGGGCTGGGTACGGGTACCGGGCCAAGCACAGGCCGAAAGCAGTTGGGCACATGCAACTACTTCAGGCCCAATGCCTGCATTCCTCGTGACTGGGCCTCAGGCTACCGGGGCCTACTGGAAGCTTCTTGGACTGGACGCAGGCAGGCCACGGGGATATAGGCAAAGGCCAGCCTCCTCGTTTGACATTCAGGTGCTGGCTGCATGCGGCGAGAGCGCTGCTGCTCTATTTGCTGGCTGGCGCCCTCGCACTCACGGGCGAGTGTGGAAGAAGCAGGCAGCCATAGCCACGCTGCCTGCTGTAAGCTGGGTTGGGCGCAGGTTGGTCCTTGGGTGCTAGAGGCATCTGTGCRGTGAGGATCGGGGTTGAGAGCGAAGCGGGAGTCATACCTGGTGCTTGAGACGAGCGGCATTGGCCGCATATGCTCGTACTTCGGTGAAGCTGTTGACGTCAACTTCGGCATTGTAATAGTAGGCTAGATAGGATCTGCCATCTTGTAGTCCGGGCGCCGAGCGCCAATAGGATACCAACTCTTGTTCTTCGTTGATGATGATGAGAGACAATTTCAGCATTGTCAATTATGAACTATTGCTGTGTTCTTATTTGGTATAACTCGTGATGCCATTCTGCTTATGGTTCGAGGTCATGGCTATTTGGTCACTCATGTATGATGCTGTTTGAGTTCTGGAATTCGCTATTGCTCATCTTCCTTGCAATTTGGTATCGGAGCTGTGGTACGATTGCGCTCATTTGGCGCTTGTCTTCTGCCTTATACGGTACATACATGCGGTCTGCTGAGAGAGTTTGGCCGTAAGTGGTGTGTAGGGAGGAGGGTGAAGACGAGTGGAAGGCGACCCAGGTGGTGAGGGGCAGCGCCTGGAAGGCTAAGGTGTGAATATTGGGTGTTCGCAGTGTGATGAGAACTATCTGTT